TACTTCTAAAATGAGTAGTTATAAAATACTGTTCATAGTTTACTCAAGTAGAAGACATATAAATCCACTTTTAACGGTTTAAAGCGGGAAATATTTTAGTTAAATACTACAAAGTATTTTAACTATGCCTCGACATTTCGAACGCTTTGCAGCAACCGTGTTAACGGGGAGACCGTTGGAAGTTTAATTTATTTCACGTTTATAACCATTAAAAAAAACTCAATAATGTAATTGGAAATGGTTGAATTTAGGAATTATTACTGCCCATGAATCTGAATAGATAAGTAAAGGAAAAATTTCCCACTGAAACTGGAAAACATGGACACTCTACTAAAACAATTGCAAGTGTTTTTGCATGACCTATGAGTGTCAGTATTGTTCGGAACGCATAAACATTTTCTATTCTTTTATCAACCTAAATTCCTTTGTTTCTGTTTTGTTTACTGTGTGTTATTTTAAATAACACACATTCTTTTAAAGCCTTTAAAGGAGAGGGGTGGGGTCATGGAATATTCCTGCCTTTTGAACTCTTTCACTTTTTAGTTGACAGTGGTACGTCCTCACAATATTAATTTCCTTGTTAGAAATACGTACTATTAATATAGTGAATACTGCCATAATGCGTTTACTACTAACGTAAGTAGTATGCCTGGTTTATGAAGCAATTTTAGTTAAGCAATCTGTTTTTCTATAACACATTGTTTAAAAACTCTAATATATATCACATATTGGCATTAAATAAAAATAGAAATCGATTTTAGATAGAAACAAATTTACAAAATTTACAAGACTTAAACCGGCATTCACATGGAACACTATTGATACCGGTTCAAATCCTAGCCGTCAATTTTATTGATTTTTAATTTATACACTCTGTTAACCCGGGTTTTTCTTCTCAAACGAAATTCCAATTTCCATACTTCATAATACCTAAGTATTTCATTATTGACTGACTGTCATATTACAATTTAAATAAAACATAAATATACGACCTTAAATCAATATCAACAGAACCTAATAATGTAATTACTTTAGTGGGTTATAAGAACGGTAAAAACTAGCTGTGTCAGCGACTTCGTTCGCGTAAATATTAATTTTTCGCATCAAAATTTGTCCTCCGTCCTCATCCCGCGCGTCCCGTCGTTCATGAAAGCTAATTTTAAGAGATAGACATAGACTGTCGCGCACATCTTTTTAGATCATTTAAAGAGAAATCATTCTTTATATATATTATTAAGTTATGTTAAGCCGTTTTCGCAACATACGCAACGAAAACCCTTAAAGATGAATAATTTCCCCCCCTTTCATTTCACATTCCCCTCTATGTCAAACACATTGCGATGTTGTATAGCCTATAACGTTCCTCAATAAATGGTCTAACCAACATAGGAATAATTTTATAATCCGAATTCATAGTTTCTGAAATTAGCGCGTTCAAACATACAAACAAATACTTTAGCTTTATATATATATATATATATATATATATATATATATATATATTATAAGATTATTATATATATATAGAAAATAGACTATATTCTTATATATTAGTACAGCCATGTTGTAAATGTTTGATCCACATTATTCAGAAAATATACAACATGTAATTGGAGCTGATATTGTCTACGCTAGCAATGTATTGTAAATGTTTCTTCCAGCATTCATTCTAATATCGCTATGTCCTTATTTATCGTCCTTTGTGTATTAATAGATCTTGTTAGCTATTGAACTTCCTGCGAGAATATAGGTTAGTATGTAAGACTCGTTAGTTTAGTGGTTAGAACATTGGAGTGCATAAGAGTCCGTGTACAATTTCCAGGACAGGCGAAATGTTATGAGTTTGGAAAGAGATATTATGGTGCCTACGAAAGCACGTGGAACTGTAGGCCCAGATTATCATTACTAATTTAGTGGAGACGTCATGTAAGATGTAAAACCCACCATGCACTCCCAGTGCGGTTTGTCCTTCTTGAGCTCTCTCTCCTATGAGACCAGAAACTTATCGGCCGATGGAACCACCAGCAGGCACTTACCGGCAGAAACGTCGGGCCGTTATTAAAATAAGTTTACCTAATATATATCGCCTTTTAAGCCGCTAAAGTGTTTTATTCAAACATAAACCTATGCTTGAACAAAGATCAAATATGTAACATTTTGTGAGGTTCCTTCGAATTCGAAAGATATCAATTTTGACGTAAACAACTAAAACCGGGTTGTATTAACTTGAGAAATAATTAAACATGTTGTTTTTACGATAAGGAGCATGTTTTACACACAATTAGAAATTAATTCTTCTGGTCAACAGTTTGATACCACCGTTAGTCTCTGATCACTTTTTATTATCGCATTCGTTGTTTTGAATTTCAAAAAAATCCGTCAACACATGTGCGGATGAATTTATTATTTAAAATGGCACGAGTCCGTATAACTCAAGCAACAGTCGATAAACAAAATAAACAATTCGTGAATTTATTAAAACAATTTATAGCTGGAAAATTTGAATATTGATTTGTTTGTTATCGATTGAATAATGCCGGCGACGAATTTGAATCGTGTCCCTGAATATTCAGTTTTCATACAAAAAGAATTAAAGAGTATTCGTTCTTTATCATAATAATTTCAACAGTAAGTTTTTAGTATAGACGTGTTCGATATAATTACATATTAATAATAACTTAAGAGTAACAAATATGTTGTTATTACATTATAACCGCATTTTTATGATCAGAGGAACACAAGCATGGGATTCATTCACAATGTAACATTTGAACAAGATGTGTTATCGACCTATTTTGGATTTTCTTTTGTAACTTCTCAAATAGTTAACATTAACAATCAACCGATATACTGTTATTACACGCTCTTCTTAACGTGTCGAAGTTTTGCATTTACGCATTTCTCCTTCTTTTTTATACATATCTTTCGTATCCTTTATTTAAATTTAAACAATTTGAATGCTAACTGATAACCGACTAGCTAAATATTTTGTTGAATTGTCTATGAGTCTTCCACTTCATTCGTAGCCTCTGTATAATATTAACTGTGGAGCCTTATATTATGTACGTGTTCTGAGTTCGAACGCCAGGAAAACAATAGATTTTTAGGCAGGGCACAGAAGTCTGATCGACTTCCCAGCAAAAATGACCGATCAGTAAAATGGACACAGAAATTTGTTCGCCTCATGCCCTACGGGGAGAAACGGATTTTACTTCACTCCTTGTTAGACCTATTGTTTACAAGATCCTAAGTCAAGATAGCAGCCCCTAAAATAGCCTGTCAGCATCAGACGTAAACACTCGAATTCGTACCCATATATTGGAAGGCTGATCGTAATCTAAATTAAATCTATTCATTTGTAAGCCTTGTAGATAATCCTCAGTGCAAATTGACGCTATTGTTTAGCACTGAGCTGAAAACTAAACTGACAGGCCGGGAGTTAGGTGGGTTTTTAATTAAACAGGTCACCTCGTAGAAGCGATAAATTAAGCTTAATCTTTGTTTAAGTTGTGTTTAAATATATTTCAAGTCTCTCAAATAAATACTCAATGCAACAATTGTATCTTGTCATTAAATTTAAATTATATTTTCCAGTTTTTGGTAGTACTTAGAATCGATTACTTATAGCATAATAATCAATTCTAAGTACTACCTAAGTTATAACAGATATTTTTTTCTGTACATTTGATAAAAATTCATATTAAAAATTAGGGACCTACAAAAGACTCCATTTTTTATTTGAAGTCTAATATGTTTCGTTGTACCACGTTTTGACCTCTGATTCTGAAGATTGAGTTACTGCTAGCTTACCCCCTCTTATTCTTGCTGTATAGACTGAGCTATTCAACAAAAATCATTAGCAGAATAACTCGCACAGTTAATAATGCGATTAATTTTAAAAATAACATTTATAAACAAGTAGCAACAAATAAATTAGTCTGTCAACTATTTCAAGAGGTCCCGGGTTCGATTTCTTTGCAAACGAAAAAGTATTTCTTTCAGTTGGGCTGTAGATGTCTGATCCTGTAATACGATGAGTGAAATAGACAAATAAATATGTTAGCGTCATGCCACCCTGCATTTAAAAACGGAAAGTATTTATCTATCTATGTAATGAATCGAGGAAAAAGTTCATACTTTTACGATTTGTTATAAATACCTAAAATTAATGTGCGATTAAGGGATTAATTGCGCGCAGCTGTTGATAACAGATTAGGCAAATAATTGAAGCACTTGTATTTCAAATGTAGGTCGCTAATATATTCGGACATATTATATTACTTGATGCCTCACACCTGTGGTATATTAAAATAGATTTATTTTTTATTATTTAATGAATATCAAGCTTTGATTAAAATAAAACACTTTCAATAAATGACATAGTTATCTTTTAAGAACAGGTTAAGCATTATTGTCGCAAAAGTAATTATATTATTTAAACAGGAAATTAACTCATAGATTAAATATAACTCATCAACAATGAGAAAAAATAAAAGTAATGTTTAAAATTATGACTTCCACAGTTAGCAGCAGAAAATTAGGTTCTTTCTATATTGAGAAACAATTATTTTCACTAAACGTCTTTATCAAATCGATTTTAATTACGTATATACAGAATGTTCGTCTTAGTAGAGAGCGAGAAGTGCACATTTAAATATAACACTAAAATGTGAAATATATTCGTTATCTTATTTATTTTAACTACGGCCCGATATTTCAAATGCTTCGAAGCAGCCGGCAGTGGTTGCGGTCGTAATATATTCCGTTTCAACCCGTTTAGAACGTTTTATTTAAAAACATTTAGCTTTCACTAGGGATGGGCAATGATTGTAATGAACTTATAGAGTTGGTTGAACATTTTTTTTATTTTAACAGCCTGTATCTATAATGAATACAATTTGTAAACCTTTTTGATTGCAAAAACAAATGCAAACGTTTATAATGTAAATTCCATTCTTTATGAAAACTCATTTAGGATTATACATGTTTAAATTTTCACCATGAAGAAAACAAAGTTTATTGGTGTTTTGATTTTCTTTTTCATTTATGGTCAGTATGATGTCTCCAGCAAAGATATCCTTAACACTTTCCGGATAAATTCAATGCTGCATGGAGTATTGGACAATTCCATAAACCCAAATGATACAGTATCCGATTTAAGCTTGCAAAATCCTGATGATTTCTTGAATATAACTGAATTAATAAAGAAATATAACTATCCAGCCGAGGAATATACATTGTTGACCAAGGATGGATATAAACTGAAGGTTTTTAGGATACCTGCGGATGGCCCGGTAGTTTTTCTCATGCATGGACTCATTTGTAGTTCAGATGATTTCATAACGCCTGGTGTCAAAGCTGGCTTAGCCTTTCTACTAGCCCAGAAAGGTTATGATGTCTGGATGGGTAACGCTAGAGGAAATAAACACTCGAGGGATAATATTTATGTTAAACCATCAGAAAAGGAATTCTGGAACTTCAGCTTCCATGAAATGGGAATCATAGATCTTCCCGCTATGGTCGATTTTGTTCTGGACAAAACCGGTAAAGATAAATTAATATACGTTGGCCACTCGCAAGGAACCACTATTTTCTACATCATGTGCTCGTTGCTGCCTGAGTACAATGAAAAAATAAGTGTCATGGTGTCTCTATCTGCTGTTGCATTTATGTCCCACATCAGATCTCCGCTGCGATACATAGCGCCGTTCAATGAAGAATTGCTAGCGATTTTCTACAGTTTAGGCGTTTATGAGTTATTATCGGAAACGCCGACGATCCAAGCATTCCAAAATACCTTCTGTAACACAAACCCTCGTGCGTTTACTTTCTGTGAGAAAATTATCTTTTTCCTTGGTGGCTTCAACTATGAGCAAACGAATTTTGAACATTTAACAGTTGTGTTTCATCACTTTCCTGCTGGATCATCTGCCAAACAACTAGTCCATTTCGCTCAATTGATATTATCGGGTTACTTTCGTCAGTACGACTACGGACCGAAGAATTACGAAAAATACGGTTCTATAATACCTCCGTCCTATCCTGTCGGAAAGATAACGGCGCCTGTTGCTGTCTTCTATGGGATTGGAGATTGGCTTTCAGAGTCAGTCGATGTCAAAAAGTTAACATCTAAGCTACCTAATTTGATAGAGCTCTATACAGTTGAAAACGAAAATTGGAGTCACTTTGACTTCGTGTATGCTAGAGATATAAAAACTCTCATTCTTCCGAAACTGTTGTCGTTAATAGAAAAATACGTTTAGAGGAGCTCATCTGATTTGAAATAACTATAATCATGGTAGACAATAATTAGTTATAAAATATATGCGCAATGGATTTTTTGATGATAATTATTTTAGAGACAAATATAATAATAACTTAAGAGAAATACTTAGTTAAAATAAGACTATATTAATGCATTCAAAACTATAGAACATAACGAAATGATGATGGTGAGGTGTTATGGCGACTTTCAAGAACAATTTCAAGCCTTCCAGTTTAATCGCGTTTTGGTTTCAGTCTGTGGATTTCCGAATATCAAAAGCAAAAAAGATTGACAGGGCATGCTTTCAAGATGTTATATGGATATTGCATGGTGGTATTTCACCTACCATCAAGTAAAACCAATGCTTGTATGTAATTCTATCTCTGATTGTACATTTGTGGTGTGACTATAATAATCTTACTATAAGTAGGTGAATGCAAGTGACGTACGACGGACAGTCAGGTGCACAACCGACAACGTGGTTTCACGCTTAGCGTGCATGTCACGTACAGTCGCGTAGTGCGGGCCAATTGACATTTGAATTCCTCGTCAATCCCGTTTTGTGTAGAATCTATAATCACTTTACAGGCTGCGCTTAATGGGATATGACAGGCGATTTGGAATTGTTGTAAACTATAGTTTGCTCAATATATGATGGTGTGTTTAATACTTCACGCCTATAAAGTATTGTGTATTGGTAAATTTTAATAAGACCATGTTGATACGTTATAATACTACACTATCTAAAGTCTTTTTACATAAAACACAAAGCGGAAATAATTATTTTTGGTTTTGAATTAATATTGCCTTGTAAAACCATACATACCTTTTTCCTTACAGGACGTGGAACTTAAAATTGTCATTTGAGCTTCTCTGTAGATTTTGCTAGTAAGGCACATTTAACTAAATGATATAGTGTAGGTATACAATCTTTTTTTTTCTATCGCTTGACGTCAAATTAATATCACAGGATCTTAATTTAAATATACCGTTAAGCGCAGCACGAGAGTTTCTTTTTTTTTCGAAACGAGAAACAGTTTCAGACAGTTGCACAACGTGTTGTTAAAACTCTTTGACTTTCATTAAATTACTTTTACATTTGTACACTTTACAATAAGAATTACACGGATGGCTGTCGTTAGTGAATTGTCTCCTGTTCTTCTGTCTACGCTTTATTTTATGCTGTTAATTTGAAAGTTGCAATGGAAGTTGTAGCCAATAAAGCTAATTTAACATCGGTCAAGGAACATTTAAAATAACCATAATTGATTACTGACCCTATATAACTTCCGTCACATATTTGAAACATCTTTAATGTAACGGTTAAAGCACGGTGTGCTGTGGTGCCGGTTCAAGTCCTGTCTGTTTTGTAATTTTTTTTCTAAGAAAATTTGTAAATTATTAACTCATACAACACACTCACTACAATTTATATAAAGCTAACTCTAAGTTTAACTAACTTAACTGTTTACATTAATTTCCTAAGAAGGGCTGCCTGAAGAGATCGCTTATTAGCCATAAGGCCGCCTGTTACTCTCCGTTGTGTATACTGATACACAACGGAGAGTAACAGGCGGGTATGTATGCTGTGTTATAAAGTATAAGTAAAAATATATTTATGAAAGTTATACTACGCAGATATCCTTTATGAAATATTAAATATGATTCGTACATCGCTAAATGAACCGAGCGATTTCAACAAACAAAGTCCTAAATCAAACAACAAGAAGTTTGTCAATCGCGATTGTTCTAATTCTGCGTAGCCAATATACATAAAGTTTATTGTCTGTCAGTTACAACAACGGGTTTTATTACTATGTTACCATATTGTTCGTGCGCAAGAACTTTGTAAGCGATTCTGATAAATGGAAGTTGCACGTTTTACGAAGATTGCTCGAATACAACTTGTTTTGTGTAACTGCTTGAGGGTGGTTCGAGTTTTTTTTTTGCAAGATTTTCCTGCGATTGTTCTTCAACCGAGTTCGAGATAAACAAGTTATGAAACAGAAACAACAGATGAACAAGAACTTTTTAATTTCGACGACAATATGGAGAATCGTGCGTCACGCTTATTGTTTTCGATGACTACCCTCAAATAATTTTATCACTGCGTGGCAACAATTCAATATTTGTTTTTACTTTTAAATATATGTAGGAAAGAATAAGCTTATTATTGGTGCAGCATTTCAACGGGAGATCGTATACAGCCCAAATAAATTATCAACGGGTCGAACTGGATCGATCCCGACCGGATTCAACATTTTTCTAATCAATTTATAATTTTTCTGAAATATGTCTGACTAGGTCTGAAAATCTGAATATTTCATTGGAAAGTCAGTCCATCTCACCACCATCCATAGATAAAAAAGTCGTCAAATTCAATCGCGTTCCAATTTCAGTCTGTTGATTTCCGAACATCTAAAGCTAAAATAGGGCGACAACGCATTTTGTTTAGATGTTATATGTTGAGGCTATTTCACCTACATCAAGTCAACCTCGTGCTTGTCTGTAGTAGAGGTCCTATAATAAGAAAAGTCAATTCGGTCTATGATACATTTAGGCTTAAAAAAATTGTATTTATAGTTTTAGTTAGTGTCAGCAATAGTCATAGTTACATAAGAAGCGCACTACATCGTATAAACTAAGTGTACCAGGGCGCCATAAGTAATAAGAGCTCACTGAACGATATTAATGGAAGCCTCAAAACAATTACACTAAAATGCGAGAGGCATATTGTGGCTTGCGCGCCAGATATTCCGTCGCAGGTTTCGTATAGTTTTTATCAGACGTAGGAAATTATTTTTAGTAATAACTCAATTGGTTCAAGTCGTAATCGTTCTAAAAAGATTAAAGATTGTCTGCACTTTGCGCGAGTACAGATTTAATTAAAACAATTTTAAGACGCAAAAGTACTGGTTAATTTATCTTTAAATTATTTTAACTAGTTGCCGATGTTTTGATGACGTTAAAATTGTATTATACGAATTATATCACATATTTCGTGTTTAAAATCGATAAAAATGTTTTATCTGAAAAATATTTTTAAACGCATACGTCTGCATCGAATTATATTTAATTTCGCAAACAATCTCAGCTTTATAAATTATGGCTGGTACTAATATTGCCCGTTTTTTTTCACATTCCCCTGTGTTACTTCGTTCCTATTGAAGCTAATGTTTTATAGTCGTAGTAGTGATATTTTTTTAATTTCAGTCAGAAGTTCCTGAGATTAGCACGTACTCGAAACTCTTAAGGGTTAAAGTTTTTAAAATAAATGATATTTACTCTGTCTATAATATTCAGGACTACGGAACCCTAAACAGTCCAAATAAAGTAAAGAACAAAACTTGATGAATGTTTGTAGTAAAATGTGCTAACACATGTTTTTATATGAAACGCCGAAAGCGTGAATAGCATTTATTTACTCGCTATAGTAATTTGGTGGAGTAAATGTTGCGTTTACATTCGCTGCGGGTATTAATATGTGGCTGGCTTTGTAGTCTGTGGTATCGTTTTATTGCAGTGTCGGAAGTACTATAGAATTTTGGGTTTGTTGTCCTAATGGTAGCAATCTATGGCTAATATTAATCAATGGGTCGTGGGTAAGATCCCAACCGGGACAAAGACATATATAATCCATTGATAAATTTTCTGGAACATGTTGAACTTCGTCTGGATACCTATCAAATATATGCGAGTCGGACTCTCTCTTAATTGGTTCCGTGCTATTGACAATGTCCAAAAATGTAATACTGTTATCTTTTATTACTTATTTAAGTTACTTTTAATTTTATACCCGTAAATACTTGTTTTTATTATTATTTGTACTAGCGGTATCAAATTTTTAATTTCTGATAGATAGAACAGTCACTTTAATGTTAGAGTTCCGTTTTTACCCTTTTGTTCGGAACCCTAATGAAGGCTTAAATTGCACGCCATTGACGCTCTATCAATTAGTCCAGCAATAAGTAAAACTCGACTCTAAATTTACATCAAAAAGATTTAATTTCCCTTTTCATTCATGTTCGTGGATGTATCAATTTTAATGATTGAGGTGTCAAAAGACACTATTCAGAAGATTTCGTAGAAAAGCTACGTAGTAAATCCTTCGTCGAATCTACAGTACCGCAGACTGCTAAATAAAGAAAAAAGGAGACACTATCACGTCTGACTTTGCAAAGTTGTTTGAAAGTTAAACAAATAAACCAGAGAGTAAGTGGAAAAGAGTGATCATTCTTGACTAAGAGGTTCTTTGGAATTTTATTTTGGTTTGACCGTCTCTGTGTGCTGTACGAATTGCTTTTGGTGTGATTCGATTTCGGAAGAAGGATTTGCTGAGATTTAAGTTGTACAAGTAAACAAGTCTCATAATGGAGAAGACCAATACTCTGTTTGGATCTCCTCTCGTGTTATGTGTAAAAGTGTTTAACATTCATAGTTTTCTTTAAGCTAAAATCCGGCTTACAATCAAATCTTTTTATGTCTATTTGATGATGTAAATAGTAGTCAAACATATACACAATATATTTTTAGGTTAAAGATACATTGAGAAAGACCACAGACTATATTTTGATAATTTACATTCAAAGAAATAAATGTTTATACTCTATGGCAGAATACTCCAAGATTAAACGAAGCATATTGCAACTAATATCTAAGTTTCTGTAGTAGTTCGCAGCTTGTTTTCTCACTTTTTTTCGTCGTAAAACTTGTTATTACTTTATTTTTATTCGTGTTTTTGCTATTTTGCCTCAAGCTGTAATGTGTACTTGGCAATAAAAGTTTAACAATGTTAAACTTGTAAGAGAGTTTACGGATTTGTACTTCACTTAGTTTGGCAAAAAATATGACAATACTTATAAGTTTGTATTTTCTTCTACACTTGGTATGTGACTTTAATAAAAAATAATTTCAGACTATTTATTATATATAATATTTAAAAGTAAAATAAAATATATGCAACTCTGAATTAATTTCAAGTCTACAAGCAAGTTTACA